TTCTTAATAGACTTTATTATTTAAAGAAGTTTGGGGTTCACAGCAAAATTGAGCAGAAAGTACAGCGAGTTCCTATATACCCCCTACCACTGCCAACACATGCATAGCCTCCCCCACTATCCACATCCCTCAGTGGTGCATTTGTTACAATGGATGAACCTACATTGACACATCATTATCACCCAAGGTCCATAGTTTACATTAGGTTCACTCTTGGTGTTGTACATTCTATAGGTTTGGACAAATGTATAACGACACGTATCCACCATTATGGTATTCAGAATAGTTTCATTGCCCTAAAAATCCTCCGTTGGGGTCTTTTTTAACTTAGAAAATTTATTATGGAAAATGTTAAACATGTACAAAGGCAGAGAGAATAGTATAATGAACCCCTTCCATGTACCTATCACCTGCCTTCAGAAGTTACCAAGCATGGCCAATCTCAATGCGACATTTTGCAAAGGCTATGGGAACATAGCTACAGGCAGACTGGTATTGCTTTTGTGGGAAAAGGGTTTCTTCTCAGTAATTTTTGAGTGACTGAATTACTTTGGGGTGACCATGTATTAAGCACTAGCTGTGCTAGGCACTTTGCAAATGATATCTAGACCGTTGCTACTCCAAGTGTGGTCCTCGGACCAGCAGCATGGGCATCACCTGGGAGCTTATTGGCAGTGAAGAATCTCCGGTCCCACCCCAGACCTACTGAATCAGGGTCAGCAGTTGAACAAGATCCCTAGGTGATCTATATGTGCATAAAAAGTTAAAAAGCACTGACTGCCTGGCCCAGGGTAGACACTTAAAATAGCCTCCTAATAATCCTGCAACAACACCTTAAGGCAAATATTATCATGCCCAATTTACAGATGAGATAACTGAAGCTCAGAGTTATTATTTGGCCTTTTCAAGATCTCACAGCTAATAAACTTAGATCTGTCTGGCTTCAGAAGTTTGTGATTTTACCACTTGCAGCATGCTGCCTCCCAGCTAAGGAGTTCACTTTGGGGGCAACTCAATAAAAAAAGGAGATGGTATGTGTTTACACAACACAAAAATGACCAGTCATCTTGGTGGCAACAACAACAACAACAACAGAAAACCAAACTGTTTGCTATCATGCAAGCAATCGTTCCACTGAGAGACCTTTTCACTTTTCAACCAGTTATTAAGGTATCATGTAGACAGCTAAATATTTCAGAGTGGTCAGAAAACAAAAAAAAACAAAAAAACTAGAGCAATTATCAAAGTTACTCCCCTTTGACAGTGACTGTTGACCCAAATATGAAGCAAACTGCAAACCACAAGCTCTCCCAGAACAAAGAGAAGATTTGCTATAGACACAAATAACTGGTAAATGCATTAAAAAAAATCAGTCAGATCAGTTTGACATCATTTAGACAGGAAGGGCAGGTAGTTGACTGAATATTTCACTTTCCAACCAGCTGGGCTGTTTTGGCCTATAGCTCTGAATTGCTTACACCAAGAAGCGAGGTTTACATGGCTGAGCACTGCTGAGCAATGCAATAGGTCCTTCTGTTTTCTGGGTAGCTTTTTGAAGGGACTGTTACAGGAAGAGGTAGAAAAAGCATAAGTCCTGGAGCACACCCTCAGTTTACCAGGAACTCATTAGATCCAGGGAACTTCTTCCCTGTAATCCTGGGAGGAGATTAGGCCCTTTCCTTCTCTTTCTGCTGCCCCAATGACTCTGGGGACCTGCATTAATGGATTGGCATGGCTACTTGGTTTTGCAATGAGCTGATTTGATGATTAATTAGCCTCTAGCAGGAACCTGATGAAGTTCTCAGCTCCAAACCCCAGGGATCCAGTTCAGGGCAATCTGCCCTCACAAGAAAAGACCAGGTGAAAACTGGCCTGGCCTGGCCTGGTGATAGGCCGCCACAGGGGTTATGATTGACTTTCTACTTTACAACCAAATGACCTGGACATAACTTGCTGTTGTGAAACAGTAATCCTACTGAAAAATAGTAAACCCATTGGCTCAACAAAGCTAATTGTCTTTAAGCATGAAATCAAATTCCTAGTGTATCTTCTCTACCTTGTAAGTAACTATTTGGATCACTTTATCCCACATTCTTTTTTCTTAATCCCACATTCTAACAGATTGCATAATATTTTATGGCCAACCTCACCCTCATGCAAAAAAATATAATGAACAATACTAAGAATTTAGTCAAAATAGGCCAAAAAAAAAAAAACCCGCCTAAGGTAAAATAGATAAGACTTATAAAAGTTATTTTAAGAATGTTTTTCTAAACATTGAAGAACATTTCAAAACAGAGTATTTTGAATACCATATTTGAATGTCTTAATCACTATATTTTCCCTCTGAAACTTTCACAAAGACGTTTCTAAGATCTGTTTATCTCAGTGACCACCTTCGCAAGGTTAGGAGGGCACTTGCTATTTATCCCTCTTTTGCAGATGAGGAAACTGAGACTCTGAGAGCTGAAGTGACTTGCCCTCCATAAGAAAGCCTCCCCGAGAGGAAGGGCCAGAGCTGAGATCAGCATCCAGATCACGAGCTGGCCCTGTCTTCTTTCCCCTTACCATAGTCTGAAGAAAAAGATAGCACAAGAGTAGCCACAAAATTATCCCCTAAAAAATTAAGGCAGCTGAGAATATGTCAGGATTATTAAATTAGTTGGAAATATCTTTTCACTTTGGAAATTACAAATTACACCCATGGGTTATTTGGTGAGGGGGAAAACGCTGATACATGAGCAGCTGCATTCATCATGCATATTGAAGGTCTTTGGGTTGTAAACTGTGACGCGGACCCAGAGCAATGGCACTTGGGGTGGAGCACATAGCTAGCTGCACTTTCTCCTTCCCTCCCTCACTGCTCATGCTCTCCTCACCTAAGGGGAAGTGAGGAGTGTTCTGGAAGGCAGGGGCCCCTACTCAGAAAGTTAATATCCAAAATATATAAAGAACTCATGCAACTCAATAGCAAACAAACAACTCAATTAAAAAATGGGCAGAGCATCTAAATAGACATTTTTCCAAAGAAGACATACAGATGGCCAATAGGCACATGAAAAAAATGTTCAACGTCACTAAATCTCAGGGAAATGCAAATCAAAACCACAAGGAGATATCACCTCACACGTGTAAGAATGGCTATTATCAAAAAGGCAAGAGATAACAAGAGTGGGTGAGGATGTGGAGAAAAGGAAACCCTTGTGCACTGTTGGTAGGAATGTAAATTGTTGCAGTCACTATGGAAAACAGTATGGAGGTTCCTAAAAAAATTAAAAATAGAACTACCATATGATCCAGCAATTCCACTTCTGGGTATTTATCCAAAGAAATGAAAACACTAATTCAAAAAGATATATACACTCCCATGTTCACTACAGCATTATTTACAATACCCAAGATATGGAAACAACCTAAGTGTCTATCGATGGATGAACAGATAAAGAAATTGTGGTACATATATATACAATGGAATATTATTCAGCCATAAAAGAGAATAAGATCCTGCCATTTGGGACAACATGGATGGACCTCGAGGGCATTATACTAAGTGAAATAAGTCAGAGAAAGACAAATACCGTACGATCTCTCTTATATGTGGAATTGAAAAAAAAAACCAAGCTCATAGATACAGAGAACAAATTGGTGGTTGTAAAAGGCGGGGGACTTGGAGGTGGGAGAAATGGGTGAACTGTGAATAAAAATTTTAAAAAAAGAAGGAAGAGGGCATTCACTAGACTGCGTGTCTCCTGGCTGAAATCCTCCTGGATTTGTATATGTGCTGCTGTCCAGTTAAGGAGAGCACGGTGCTCTTTGTGAAGTGAAGAGCAAGTTAAGTTCGTGCAAAGTGATAAGATTTCAAAACAGTCCAGGGGAAAGGAGGTGCAGTGTCCAAATTAATCACAGCCATGGAACCCCCATGGCTTCACTTCAGCTAGCCCCTTCTAGTCTTAGCATGACTTTGAGTCACTATTTTCTGATGTTATTACAATGGGCTGCAGAGTGTCCTGTAAAGCTTTCTTACCCACAGGGGAGTCCTGGGGAATTGGGCTCCAGGGGAGTTGGGCTCCAGTTCAGATTATCTCATGGAATGATCCTTGTAGCTATCATGTAGATAACAACATACTCACAATCAGCCCAGGAAGTAAATTCCACACATGAACCACTTACATTTGAAATGCCCCAATTGCTGGGGGCCAGACTAATCTGTAGTTAAGGAAGGGATTTCTGGAATTTTCTCTGAGCCTTCCAGGCTTCCTGCATGTCATCCCTCTCACTAGGTAAAAGGAATGGAAAAAGGAGATGCTTGTTTGGGACAGGACAGTGTGTGATGGGAAAATTAGCACGTGAGAGGGCATTTTGTAATATTTAATCTAAAGGTAAGAGTTTTGCTAATTATTGAATAACTTTACGGAAAGAAACAATGTCTATGCTCTAAATATTTATGTTAAGTACCTCAATACTCCTAAAATTCTGGAGAAAGTTCTGGTTTGTGTGTCATAGGGGCTGCATGGATACTTGGAAGGGATGCTGTAGAGGGCCTTTGGGCATGAAATGGGAGACTGGGCTGGAGAAGTCACTCCTTCAAGCCTGAGATTCTGTGAAAACTAGAGGTGCCAATCCATTTTCTTAAGGAAACTGTACTTTTCAAAGTACAAAATTATAGAGATGGAGAACAAATTAATGGTTACCAGAGGTTAGGGATGGTGGAGGGTGGCAGGATGGGTGTGACTATAAAGCGGTAACACCAGATCTTTGTGGTGATGGAATAGTTGTGTATTTTGATTGTGGTGGTGGTTCCACAAATCTATACATGTAATAAAACGGCACAGAAGTATACACACACGTTGCACCTACGTCAATTTTCTGGCCTTTATACGGTACTATAATTATGTGCAATGTAATCATTGGGGGAGACTGGTTGAAAGGCAACTTCCTATGAATCTATAATTATTTCAAAATAAAAAGTTAAAAAAAATTCAAGCACAATTGTGCATTTCTTTTAAGTGCCCTACAAAACCCTTCATTTATCCAATTTTTCTTTTGAGAGAACCCAACCCCCATCTCCCAACCCCCACACACCAAAACTCCTTGACTCTTGAGAATTAGAACTACAGACTTAGGAACAAACTTTTCCTTTTCCACCTTAATTTCTTCATTGGGGAAAAAAAAGTCAGAGAATGTTATGTGCCCCTTCTTTTCTTTTAATCTGATGTTTTAGATGGAGCTAGTTGATTGGTAATGCCTTGAGCAGACTGAGAAGATTCTATATCTGATCAGGCCAGCTCTTCTCCCTGCCATGGAAAAAAAGCAGAAACACGTTAAATTCCTTTCATACCTTCCATGTGAATAGAAGCATAAGGGTAGGAAGGAGGGAGAGGACAGGCCAGGAGGGTGCGGGGTCTTGTGGTTCTGAAATGAGAGGCACCAGGCCACCACACAAAGCAGAGAGGCTCCTCTCAGCTCAGAGGGAGCTGTGCTTCTGGGGGTGAGAAACATGGAGAAATTTCCCCAAGAGGTCAAGCACTTGGAAGAATAACAGTTCAGCTAGCCTCAAAGAGGGGTAGTTTGAGTTGAATATAGAAATGTGAACCAGCTTCCCCTCGCTACCTCCCCAAGTACACCAGAAGAGGCGATGGATAGAACCTGAGCCCTTCCGTGGGAACAGGTGACTGTAATGGGAAGGTTATAAAGGGATTTGGGATTGGAGCACCTGCCACAGGCTGTCAGCTTTCTGACATACTCTTTCTCCCAGAGGCCCTACCTTGGCCTTCGAAGATTCCATGCATTTCACTAAAACTTCCTCAGTACATCTCACCTGGCTCATGAAACTGAGCACTTGATTATAAGCTGTCTCATATTGTTCTCTTATTTTGAGTTACATGGGGCCTGGGTTCAAATCCTAGTTGTACCACTTGCTAGGTATGTGATCTTTGGCAAGTTGTCTTAACCTCTCTGTTCCTCAGTTTGCTCATCTGTTAAGTGGGAGTAATATCTGCCACATTACAGGGTTTGTAAAGTGTTTTGTACCTAACTGGTGCTTAGCAAATGTTAGTCTTCTCTTTGCTCTGCTCATCATTTGCCATGTGGATGCCACATCGCTCACAAGACTGGAAGCTCCTTGAAAGAGCTTCTTTCTGTTCTTTCTCCCCCCAGTACCTAGCATAGGGTTGGGTACACAGCACGTTGTTAATTAGTCCTTATTGGCTAGGTTAAATGGTGCTTTCCTGGCTGCCTCAGTGATACTAATGGAGACCCAGAAATGGGTGTAAGGGAATATCGACATTCCATTTCAAAGATATGAAGGTAACATGCTGAATTCTTTACTTCCTTGATACATTGTTATAGTAAAACTGTCCACATGATAAGGCCTGCTTTTAGTGCAAATATAATTTTAGACAATTATTATGTAGCTCAAGTAAAATTAAAGTCAATTGTTTAAGTATCTTGACAAAATGGTTTCTTGATCAGTTTATCAGATGTGGAGCAAAAAAGACAATTACGGACTGACATGCCTATTACCACAGAATTCTGAAGGTTATCAAATATAGCAAAAGAATCTGAAATTGACCCAAGTCACATCTATGCTCCAGTCATTGTCTCGGGACCACACCACAGTCTACCTCACATTTGTGAGGTACAGTGGAAAGAGTAATAGTTTAGGAAATGAAGACCAGAGCTATAGCCCCCGATTTTGTCATTCACTCATTCAGCCAACAAGTATTTACTGAGTGCCTACCATGGGGCTTGGCTCTATGCTTCACAGACATGATCCTGCTCTGCATGGAATTTACTATCAGTAGCTGTGTGACCTGTGGGAAGTCACATCACCTCTCTGGGTCTCATGCTTCCCATCCGTCAGATGGTGACAGATCTATATCATAATTATGAGAATTCTATGAGGGAATGCAGGGTCCAGAGCCTTGCAGACCGTGATTGTTCTCTAGGATTGTCTTCTATGTAATGGTTACATGAATAGCTTGTGATCATTTGAAAATTATGTCCAAAGTCTATTTCAAGGGGGCTGAGCATGTTCTGCCTATCTCGTCTTCCTTCCTTACATGTTGACAAGCCAACCAAGACCAGAGCGAGCAGGAGGGACAGAGAGCTCTGTTATACAGGGCTGAAGCATTATAGGGAACAGACTCTACTTTGTGTTCTCAAAGGGTTGTATTTCAGACATGGCTCCTGTTATGGGTTGAATTGGGTCCCCCAAAAAGATATGAAGTCTCAGACCTGGGTACCTGTGAATGTAACCTTATTTGGAAATAGAGTCTTTGCAGATGAAATCAACTTAAGATGAGGTCATTAGGGTGGGCCCTAATCCAATATGACTGGTGTCCTTATAAGAAGAGGGAAATTTGGACACAGACACACACACACAGAGAACGCCATGTGAAGACACACGCAGACACAGAAGGAAGAAGGCCATGTGAAGATGGAGGCAGAGATAGGAGTTATGCAGTCACAAGCCAAGGAATGCCTGGGGCTACCAGAAGCTGGAAGAAGCAAGGAAGGATCCTCCCTTAGAGGCTTTGGAGGGAACATGGCCCTGCCACACCTTAATTTCAGACTCCTAGCTTCTGGAACTGACAGAATAAATTTCTGTTGTTTTAAGCCACCCAGTTTGCGGTAATTTGTTACGGCAGTCCTAGGAAACTAAGGTAGTCCCCAAACAGAAATGGCCCTGTCACGTACTTCCCTCTGCCCTCCATGTCACCATGGTGCCCCTTCCCTTTCTGTACATGAATCCACATGAAAATGATGCCTTCACCCCTAAAAACATGGGTCTCCAGAATGGTGAAAAAGCTTGTGCAGAATACTGAATTCTGTTTTATGTTTTTCAGATAAGTCAAAATGGAAGGCAAGAGTGCCACCCCCCCCCACCTTATCCTCTTTGCTCTCAAGTTTGATGGAAAATATTAAGAGCAGGCAGGCATGGGACCCACTGAGCAAACAGCTGCCGCTGCTAGCCCTCAGCATGGAGACTATCTTGGGAAAGCCGTGGAGTCCATTTTGGGCCCTGATAATGCCAGCAGGGCTTGCAGGAGAACCGACCTCAACTGAGGGTTCCAAGCACTGCAAAGTATCATTGGGTTTTGGAGCCAAACTGCCAGCTTGTCCCCACCTAGACTCCACTCTCGCAGCCAACCAGAGGCTGCTGTCCTAGCAAAGTAGGTCTCACTTCTGTAGGACAAATGAGTGATTCATTTAATCAATCGCTGTTTGGCAACCACCACCACACATGAGGACACATTAGACAAACACATTGTTGAAAAGCGCTGTTTGGCAACCACCATTGTAATAACTGATTCAGGAAAGAGTCATCAATGGATCCTAAAACTGGTGAGTGAAAGTTTTATGAGAAGGATGTTATTTACATAGTCTCAAAGTATCTCCCCAGACATTAGCTATTAAGTACAAAAAGGAAAATAGTATCTTTACTATAGAAAAACCTGGCAGACATCATCTTAACCAAGCAATCAAAGTTAACAACCCCAACAATCCTCAGGTGACTTTTTATGTTTTACTTCTGCCAAAAATGCATAACCTCTTGTCATGAGGACACATCAGACAAACCCAAATTGAGGGACTTTTTACAAAGTAAGTGGCCTGTACTCTTTCAAAATGTTGTCATGAAAGACAAAGAAATATTGAGGGCTGTTCTAGATTTAAGGATACTTTAGAGACGTGACAACATTATACATTCTGTATAATGTGTGATCCTAGACTGGATCATGGACCACAAAAAAATAGCTATGAAGGACATTCTTAGGACAATTAACAAAATTTGAATAGGACCTGTAGATTATGTAACAGTATACTGTATCAGTGTCATATTTCTTGAATTGGCTAACTCTGCTGTGTTTATAGAGCAGAATGTCCTTGTCCTCAGGAAACACATATTGAAGTATTAGGCGGCAAAACTTCTCTGCAACTAACTCCAAGTGTTTCAGAAAAAAATGTGTTTGTGTGTGTAGAGAGAGAATGGTAAATGTAACAAGATGCTAACAACAGATGAATCTTGATAAAGGGTATGTGAAAGTTATTTTTACTATTTTTGCATACAATTTTCTGGAAGTTAAAAGTATTTCTAATCAAAATTTTAAAAATATATTATTTTGCGGCCGGCCTGGTGGCGCAAGCCGTTGGGTGCACATGCTCTGTTGCGGCGGCCTGGGGTTCACCGGTTCGGATCCCGGGCGCGCACCGACGCACTGCTTGGCAAGCCATGCTGTGGCAGCGTCCCATATAAAGTAGAGGAAGATGGGCACGGATGTTAGCCCAGGGCCAGTCTTCCTCAGCAAAAAAGGAGGAGGATTGGCAGATGTTAGCACAGGGCTGATCTCCTCACAAAAAAATAAATAAATAAAAATAAAATAAAATAAAATAATGACATAGGAACACATTTAAATATATATATTATTTTGAGCATTTAACTATGTGCCCTATGCTGTGCTAGGTGTGAGATATTCAAGGGAGAACAAGATATAGTCCCTATCCTTAACCCAGGCACTCACAGCCTGGGGCAGGCGGGACAAATAAAGAGGCCAACACGATTCAGTGTGATAAAGGATGCTGTGACAGCACAGAGGAAGTATGCTAAACCCAGAACTCCAAGGGGAAGGGAGTCAGAGGAGGCTCTTTACAGAGGAGGTAAAGGGGAGGCTTAAAGTTGGGGAAACTAAGTTTGGGGTGCCAGTGGGACACGCAAGCAGAGCTGACCAACAGACTGTGGGATATAGGGAGGACGTCTGGGCCTGTAGACAGCAAGAGGAAGCCACCTGCCCCCTGAGGACAGACAACAAGGCATGGATTAGCAGGTGTCGGAGGCCAGGCCAAAGTCACCACAGCCTCTGAGGTAACACAAGAAGCACAGACATAAGCAAAACAACTTGAGGCTGAAAGGTTGAACACAAGTGTGCTTACTGATGGCTTAGGATGAACTTTGTCATGCTGTATATGGAGTGTCCTAGAGACATCAGCCCCCAGATTGATAAAATATAAGTAAACTGGACAAGGCCATGGCCCCAAATTAAGTTAGGATTGCTAATAATAGACTGAGAGGCAGGAAGAGAACAACAAGTGATCATAAGAAACTAAAGGGGTGATTTTTCGAAAACAGGATGAGCTTTACCGGCAATAAGGATAAGGTAGTACCCAATTAACACACAACAGGATGGGGCGAGATTGTTGTTAACAGGAAAAATCCTGAGAACAGTACCAGGTCCCATAATAAAGGGAAATCAGCAAGGCAGTACTGCTGTTTCAGAAGTCGATGGGGGAATGGGAA